TTGATAGCAACCTCGAACTGCGACAGGACGCGTTGAACTTGGACTGGGCTGAGAAGTTCCGAGTCAAAGCTTGCCAACAGGCGGAAGCCAGTCTTTTGAAGAGACACAGCCAACATAAGAGGGTACGAGTTGAAGTGTAGGGCCTCAAGAGCAGCATCTCCACCACGGAATGAGGGCAATTCGTCTGTCTCTGTTTCGGAAGGCTCGGGGTCTTGGGGCTGGACGACAAGACCCATTGTGACTTCACAAGCAATTTGAGCATCTTCGCTCAGTCGGCGGATATGCTGGATACCAAGATGTTCGTGTGCAGAGCGAGCGACGCTCTGTTCCTGTACCGCACGAAGGAACTCGTGCACTGTAGTAGTGCGGTCGAGACGAATGCGAACCGGGACAGTGGCGAGGATGGGGCCCTCAATGAGTTCAGCACCAGGAAGAGGAATAGTACGGCCCATGAAGGTCTCTCCGAAAACAACATCGTCGCTCATGGAGTATTGCGACGCCAGCAGAGCCCATGCTGCTCGAATAACGGTGGCGATGGTGATATCGGACTTGGCAGCCTTGTCAAGCTTGATGAAGCGCTCAGTGAGAGAGGTAGGATCGGGGATGTAAGAGCGCGATGGCAGAGTCGGGAATTGAGGTCCTGTAGCTCCAGCGAGTTGCGTCTTCCAGTAGTCCTTAGACGACTCGCGTGAGTCTTCGGCGAGATAACGAATGAAGTGCTTGAATTGAGCAGGTCGCGATACTTCTTCGCCCTTGTACGCAGCGCGGGCATGCTCGACGATGAGGTCTGTAGACCATCCGTCGTAAATGGCGTGGTGAGCGGTCCAGACAAAGTATCGCTTGTCGAGAGCCTTGTCGATGACGATGGCGAAGCGAGAAAGCGGCGCACCAGGCGACATGGGCTCCTTCTTATCTTCCTCGAGGAACTCCTCCAGCGAAGACTCAACTTCCTTCCATTGAAGCGATTCATTGACGACAACTTGCATGAAGCCATGTTGCTTGAACTCAACAATGCGGGTGCGAAGGATGGGGCTCTCCTTGTACACGGCATCCCAGGCGGACTTGAGCTTGTCAACAGAACTAGAGGCGGGGATATCGGCGATCCGTTGTGCCACATAGTTCTCCTTCGATCGCGTGTAGAAAGCCATGTGAATCTCCTGCATAGGCGCACAAGAGTAAATGTCCTCAATCGCACTGACGTCGCATCCCGACTGCTCAGCAGCCTCAGCGCGCAGGGCATCGCGGTCCATGTTATCCTTCAGTAGAGAGAACTCAGGGATCTGCATATCAACGCCCTTGCTCTTATCGCCCTTCTGCATCGACTTTGCCATATCGGCGAGAACAGGGTAATTGAAGATGTCAGCAACGGAAAGCGTGTATCCCCAATCTCGAATGACTGGCACGAGCTTCATCGCAAGAACGGAGTCTCCACCCGATGTGAAGAAGTTGTGTGTAGTGCTGACTTGCTTCGTCTCAAGTCCAAGCAGGCGACACCATGAGTCGCGCAGGAAGAGCTCAGCCTCGGACTCTGGCTCACGGATCTCAGCGGACTCATTCGCGGCTGCTGAGGCTTGAAGATTTGCAGAGATTTCGGCACCAAGGGCACGCAGCGACTTGCGATCAGTCTTTCCAGAGACGAGGTATGGAATCTTGGAGAGGGTGATGTATGTCGCAGGCACCATGTACACAGGGACAACCTTCGAGAGCCTCTCATTGAGCGTCTCGAGCGAGTCGCGTAGGCGAGGTGGGAAGTCAATCTGCCGAGCATCGCCATCATCCTTGGCTTCGCGATCGGCAATGAACGCTACCAGCATAGACTCCTTGTTCTGGTTTCTGGGTGCGATAATCTCAGCGACGACCTCAGCACCCGCGGGGAGAAGATTCTTGATGTGGTGCTCAATCTCACCTAGCTCCACACGTTGACCACGAAGCTTGATCTGAGTGTCCTTGCGACCAACAAAGACGAAGCCTTTTTCGCCATCTGGATCATATCGGACCAAGTCGCCTGTCTTGTACAAACGCCCATGGCGACCGGGAATACCACCAGCCCCAGCGAGGAGAAAGTCAGGGTCGTGGATGAAGGCCGCGTTTGTCTTCTCGGGATCACCAAGGTATCCTTGGCCCACGATTGGGCCCTCAACGAGTAGTTCGCCGACAGCGCCCACAGGAACAAGCTTGTTGTGATCGTCGGGGTCAACGAGCCAGATACAAGCACCTGTGCCTGGACCGATACTAACGTACGGCTTGCCCGCTGCGCTGGGGTTTACAGTGCATCCAATTGTGCACTCAGCAGGACCATAGCCAACGACAATCCGGGTATGTTGGCCCCATATCGCAATATCTCCAGCCGAACAAGACTCGCCACCGATACCGAGACTGTTCAGCGATGGGATAATATCGGGATCCAAGATACGCGCCACTGAGGGTGTGATGTTTACCATGTTCACCCTCAAGCGGCGGATCGCACCGCTTAGATCGTTCACACGATCCTGATCGGTAGGAATGCAGAGACATCCGCCACGAATGAGCGTGCAAAGAATACTATCGACACTAACGTCGAAAGCGTATGATGTAAAATCGAGCGATCGTGAGGTACTAGAGTATCCAATCCCCGTGCTTCGCGCAAGAGCGCTAGCAGTATATGTTTCGTGCGAGAGCATGACTCCCTTTGGCGTACCCGTGCTGCCGGAAGTAAAGATGATATATAGGAGAGAATCGGGCGGTACGTCGGGGAGTTTTCGGAGGGGATCTTGGATCGTCTTGGCCAAAGAGTCGAGAGTCGCTGTATCGACAACAACATGCTTTGCGTCGGGCGCGATTTCGGGGCCGTATTTCGCTTGGTCTCTTGAAGTGAGAATGTGTGTCGCGTTGACTTGCTGCGCCATAACTTGTCGTCGCTGCATGGGTTGGCTGGGATCGTGGAGTGAGAAAGCTGCGCCGGCTTTGATGATACCCATGACTGCGACGGTCGTCCATCTTGACTTCTCGAAGCAAAGCGGCACAATATCGCCAACCTTGACTCCGAGATCAATGAGATGTTGTGCAAGCAGTGTCGATAGTCTATCAACGTCTGCATATGTGAAGTCGCCGTCCCATGAGCAAATGGCTGGCGCATCAGGGCGCCACCTCACTTGCTCAGCGATCAAGGTGTGAATGCACATGGGCACTGGCGGAGGAAGGTCTTTGTTCCAGTTCCATATCACAGACTTATCGAGCTCGCCCAGCGGGAGGACTGAGCTAATTGTTGCGGTCGAATCGGTGAGTGTTGTGTTGAGAACTTCTACAAGGGATTGGGCAAAGTGGTTGGCAAGGAACTCTGCGCCGAGAGGCTCGCGCCATGTCGGTCGGAGCCATAGAACGTCTTCTTCTAGTGTCGCTTCAATTTGGACGTTTCCCTGTGTCGCGCAACCCGTTAGTTGGTGTAGACGAGAGGTGAGGCACATGCGCTTACCCAGTTCACTGACAACTCGCCGTCTTCGGTCACGTTAGTGACGACCTCGCCTGTCGCAGCCTCATCATTAAAGAAGAACTTGTATTCTTTCGTCTCAAAAGGCTGTTCTGACTGTAATTCTTGTTGTAGGTAGTTTCGGAACACCTTCAGCTCTGATACGACAGAGTCGCTACCATCCCATTGCAGCTTTGATGTGTTGAGGGTGAACGTGCGACATGTCGAAGACCCAATCTCGCTCAATCCCCACGAGAACTCAACATGATTCCCGTGGCTATGGCGATACAGAAGAAGCGCCCATGCTAATAGTAGGATCTCAAGCTCATAGCTATCCTGGTCTTGTTGGCGAAGAACAGGTACGTCATACCGCACACCCTTCGCCCGCGGCTGCGCCGACGACTGGATATCTCCCATGACGAATAGTCTGTTTTGTGTGTATCTGTTTTACTGTTGTATTTGGTGGGCTGGAAGAAGATCCCACTGGAGACGATGGGAATACAGACAGATGCAGTTTGCAACGACGAGAAACTCTACATGAACGCCTCCACTATTTTATTGCAGAATTGCCAGCCCGAACTGCAGGAACACCATTACGTATTGAACAGAGGTTTTGATCCGTCTTGAGCATATCGTATACAAGCTGTGTGGGGGGTAGACGGGGACCTTTGAAGCTTCACTCACTCAGGGTCCCGAGCTTCCCATCATGGGCGACTTCGGAGGGTGTCCGTGTTGGGGAGTCGTCTGCTCATCGGTCGTCCATTGCTGATCTCGGCACGCTAATCCGGACGTGAATCGACGTACGTGAAGAGGATGAAAGGACCCACGTTCGATGGACCCCTTGGATACATCCTAGCTTCCCGTGTGAAAAGTTACGGAACTAGCGTGGGCAAACAAGCAAGAAGAAGGGAGCGGGAGATGATGGTGGCTTCGGTGAGAGGTTGCTCTGCCAAGGCGGTTGTGAATGAGGCTGCTTCTTTAAACAGGGGAAACACACGTTCGCATGAACTCATGCAGCAGAGAGTGCGATGTGGTAGCCAGAGCTCTGGTAAAGGATTCATCCGCGTAGTATCGCATGTAGCAAATGGTTCGATGGAGGTGAACAGGACTGGCCCTGGCTGAAGTGGTCGAGTTGCAGGCCTCTCCACCGCGCCATGTAACAGCGTTGCAACCCAAGGGAAAACGGGGTTTCTCTTCGTCCCGTTACTATACGGAGAGCGGTAATAATCGACATGTCGGCGGGGACGTAGTGGATGAAGTGACGACCCCCATGAAGCCGAGGCGACATTTTTTTCTTGTCGTGTGGTGGGGTGATTGATAAGTTCATTATCTGATCAGATTGACAAGGATCACTGAATTCTCCACACGACCTAGCTTGCCATGGCGTCACACCACAAGCCACTCACTGAACAATTTGGAGCCGTCTCTAAGGTACTTTTCAGTGTCTGAAACCGCCGTGGCTAGCTCTAACGAGAATTAAGTATGCCGGGCTCTATACTAAACAAGAAATAATACAATACAGAGGGAAAATGCCTCATAAATGCACTGTCATGCATCATAGCTTGCTATCCACCCATCTTGGAGCCCTCTTCTCCACAAACGCCTGCACGCCTTCGTGGAAATTGTGCCCATCAGCCATGATCTTGTCCCACGTCTGACGGTGCACCCGGACTGCATTCTCAGCACTCCCATGCTCCCAGCCCGCAAGGATACCCGCGCGAGACACAATAACACTGTCGGGGCTATTCTTGATAATGAGCGCAGCGTACTCCAGCGCCTTCTGCACCACCGGTCGCTCCAGCACATCGCTGTCCGCTGGGGCGTCTTCAGTGACGGCGTTGAGAAAGCCAAATTCGCGGGCCTCTGCAGCACTGATGCTCCGCCCTGTAAGAGCCATTTCAGTGGCGCGCGGGCGGCCAATTGTCCTTGCCAGTCTTGGTAGAGAGCCTGCATTAGCAACGACACCAATCTTAGCCTCAGGGAGAGCAAAGGTAGCGCTCTTCGCAGCGACGATGAGGTCGAGATTGGCGATGATCTCGAAACCGCCTCCCATCGCCAGACCATTTACAGCGGCGATGATGGGTTTCTTTCCGCTCCTACGCGAAAGGCCGCCGAATCCCGTCGTGGGCGGGTCCATGGGTCTCTTCTCGGGAATTCCGTCTCTTTTGCGCTGATTGATCTGGTTCCATTCCTTGAGGTCCATGCCAGCGCAGAATGCACGCCCAGCGCCTGTGACGATGGCGCAGCGCAGTGAGGGCTCCTCGTCGTACCATTCCCAGAGAGCTTCGAGCTCATATTCTGCGTCGCTGGTCATAGCATTGAGGGCCTTGGGTCGGTTGAAGACCACGAGCATAACGTGTTGTGCTGGGAATGACACGAGGCCATAGTTTTGGGTTGGTGGTTGGCGATTGAACGTGTGTTGCGCCATGGTGACCGGTTTGCTGAAGGTTGTGTATGGTGTATGCTTCGGTGACTGTGCGTTTATGTGCTGCACTCGGTGATAAAAACAGGTCGGCAGGGTTTATCTGATGAAGCCGAGGATGCTCAATGGCCAGCAACTCTTGATGGTTTTGTTCCGATCAGATAAAAAGATGGTGCAATGTGACCCAAGCCGGCGTTAGAGTTCCAGAAGGGTTCAGTTGAAAAGATCCCTGTCCCTCGATCTCAGCCACGCCCACGCCCCTCCTGTCTGCCTGTGTAGCGCATGGCACCTGGTCGCTTTGGCGTCGAGCTACGGAATGAACCGTTTGAGAATCTAATCAATCCCATCTGATAATCCAGGGGCGAAGATGCATCACATGCTGCATTCTAGCGATTTCTTTTTCATGAGCGCGCATGATGCTAGGGTAGCACCGAGATCGGATGGATGCTTGAGCAGAATTTTCATGGGAGCTATGACGGTTCCAAGAGCATGGGGATGATCACTGCCTGCTTCGACGTGAACGGAGCTGGGCTCAAGAGCTCTAGCAGAACTTGTTTCAATGCGCCTTCAGAGACTCGCAACAGAATACTTGCAATGGCTCGAAACACCATGCAAGCATGAATCTCACTACCTTAGCAACGGTTTGTAGTTTTCTTCTTCCACTCACACCGAAATGTGGCTTTCTTGGCTAACAAGCATGTCCCGGTGCTATCGGTAGTTGAGTGAGCAAGCAAGCCACTGTTTCCCCCCGAACCGAGACCGCGCCTTTCTCGCCTCGACAACAATGACATCGACTTCACCCACGATGCAATGGCCCCATCATTGGGCACGAACAATGAGCGATATATGCATCGAGGCCCTGGATCATTTTGTGAATCTACGGCTGAAAACACTACTGAGCGTGATGCGTCACGAAAGGGAGGGGCGGTCTGGCCAAACAGGCGCTGTCGCGATCGCAACAAGCCAAACGAAGCTCAGTGTTTGGGCTACTTTCTGTTTGGCGCCTTGAGTTGTGTTATTGAGGCCAAGTTTGCTTTGATGTTTTCCATACACCTCCTTGTTATGTTGCAGGACCTTGCGCAACGATCCAATTGATGTCGGGGGACAACGGGTGACGACCTGTATTTGTGATGTGGTCGACGGGAGTGCTGAAAGAATTCGCAGTTTGCGCAATCAGGTAATTTGAGCAAAGTGCCCTTTTCCGGTCGCTTCCAAAGACTCAAGAGTCAAGTCACTTCTACAGTTGTTCGCGTGGGGGACTGGGGAAGGCATTTGTCGAGCATGCGCTTCCGGCGCGTATGTTACGCTGTTACCATCGAGGGTCAAACAACTGTAGGTGCTGCGCCATGGCTTCGTAGACATCCCGTTCGACCTATAACCTTGACAAACAGCCTCGCGCCACAGTGAATAATTCACTTGGGCTCTGATTTTGCCGTTTGGAATCGGCTTTCCAGCTTGTGATGGCACTTATCACAACTGCTTAGTGGCGCATGCGAGTAAACCACTGGAAGTCCGCGTAGTCGATCAAACGGTATTGACATTCAAGCCGAGTGATTTGCCGCCCTTCTTCGCCGGGCAATACAGAAACAGCAGTTTTCATTGCATTGCCACTTATTTACTCCAATTCACACCCAACGAGTCGATTCATCGGTTCAATTGTAATGTCTTGTTTTCGGCATCTGCATCGCCAGACTCCTACCCACCCTAAGCCTCGTCGTGATCCTTTAGCTTCAAGCCATCTGTCGCCGGGCACTCGCGATTCGCAGGACATATCAATCTAATCTAATCTGATTGATGGCAAAAAGTGATTGATTAGGCAGAGCTCGGCAAGCCGTGTTTCGTAGTGGTGAAGCGAAGGTTGGTGGCGCGAATGTCATCCCGGCACCACCAGAATTGAGCCAAGCTCATGCACCTTCCATTATTACCACAGTCGTGACGTCGGAGGCGATTCGAAACTGCTCAAAGGAATCGATTCTCCTCGAGGAATGAGAAGGACTTAATGAAAGTTGGAGTTAGGCAATATTCTCACATATCAATCTGTAGGGTAGAGCTTGCGGGCAGCTCATCACTTCGAGCTTCACCAACACCAGACGAAATATCTCAGTGGGATAGTGAGCAAAAAACTCAGAACCCCACAACAGCTTCCTTTCTAAATCTCCGCGCCTCGAATTAGCGCATATCCCGTCCACTTGGCCCCAATTAGCGTCTGGTTAGTGGCATGATCCCACTGCAAAGGTCGCAGGGACTGCGGATAATCGGCACAGACCGGATACAACACGACGTCTTCGACCAGGGCGACCAGGTTTCCAAGCTTTACAAGACATACTCCCCCTACCCTGCCCTGCTTCCCTCGGCTTGTCCACTTCACGGTACGCATCGGGATATTCGCCGTCTCGAGCAAAAGATGGAATACATCTTATCTAATCTGATTGGGCCAAGACCCTTCAACACCGAGATCGGGGTATAAATAAAATCTGGAGAGAAAAACAGAACCAAGATCAGTCAGTCAGTAAGTAGTCACAAGCCATCAACCAACAATCATGTCTTCAGAACCATTCCAGCAAAAGTCGCCAATCAAGATCAGGCTCCCTCTGCCTTATCTGTCCACCTACTACCTCGAGCGTACTGCTGAGGGTAAGCACTCGTATCGTCTGCGCAAGGACGACTCCATCACAGAGGGCAAGCCGTTCCCCAAGGTTCTCCATGCAGATGATCTAGTTTTCTCCAAGATTCCCGCTGTGGAATCTGATAAGATCCCTGATTCTGATAACCGCGAGTATGCTCGTGCCAGAAGAAGTCCTGTCTGGTCGTTGAGCTGGGAGAAGCAGACTCCTACTCTTGCGCAGACCTGGATGTTCCTCTACACTTTCTTCACATATCACTTCGATGTAGAGCAATTCCGTCTTCGTCTTGAGGGCGCTGGTGCTGAGGATCTGGCCAAGGAGCTGGTCCTCTCCATGGTCGCCATCAACATGCCCCCTCCTCCCAAGGGCGTTGAGCCCGCACCCAGCACTGGAGTCGAGGTTCTTGTCTTTCGCAGCGCGTTCTGGCAGGGATGCGCCTCTCCATTGGGCCAACAGCCCATCTGGCTTCCTACCTGGAACTCAGCCAACGTGGTGCCTCATCTGGAGTACGTGATGACGCCCACCTCTGAGTCCACTCTCCTGCGTCACCCGCGCCGAACACCCAAGCCTGCTGCCGGTAGTTGCATCTACAGCCGGTACATCCCATCTCTTGACGAGCACTTCAACCTCGTCGCTCTCGACTACGAGAACCCCGAGCACTTGGGTCTCTTCAACACATGGCAGAACGACCCTCGTGTCGCTGCTGGCTGGATGGAGACAGGCACTCTTGATGAGCATCGCACATATCTCAAGAACATCCACGATGACCCTCATCAGTTCGCTGTTTTGGGTTACTTCAATGATACACCTTTCGCCTACTTTGAGCTGTACTGGGCCAAGGAGGACAAGATGGGTCAGCACTACGCCTGCCTTGACTTCGATCGCGGCCGACACTCACTTGTCGGTAACGACAAGTTCCGTGGACAGTATCGCGTTATGGCATGGTGGCCCAGTGTGATGCACTACGAGTTCCTCGATGACCACCGCACTGAGAACGTTGTTGGTGAGCCTCGTCTCTCCAGCGAGAACGTTCTCAAGTATGAGATGATCTTCGGTCTTCACCAGGACAAGTGGATGGATCTGCCTCACAAGCGATCTAACCTTGTCAAGATCTCTCGTGAGCGCTTCTTCCAGATCTGTCCCTTCAATCAGGGCAAGCCTCGTGTTGCTGGCACGACCTTTGGCTTTGAGCCCAAGCTGTAAATGACTAAGGAAATGTCTTTAAAAGTTATTGGATTGGAAATTTGATGGCTGTTGGATAGTAAAATAATGCTAGCGACTTGTTTATCATCGGTCAATTTTTATTATCGCTGTTGTTCGTTCTTACAACCTCTTGGCTGTGACATTTGCGCATGAGTGAAGCGGTTCACAATTGACAATTCGCACTCCAACGGGAATAACTCTGCCAAGATAATGGCCAAGCGGTGATCCGATCTTACCGATCAGGAATCCTTTGACACGTTGCCAAGCCGCAACGGCATTGCCGATCCTGTTGATCAGCTTCAATTACATGCAGAGGTTGCCATTGAAGATCAACGTTCTATAGTGAGAGATCTTGTAATTGCCGCTTCCATCAACCGTAAACTCTGGATATAGCAAATCCATTCCACGGCAATAAAGTCGACGGGCATATAGCAAGAAGGAGCTTCGGAACTTTGGTCGGCTGGTTATTCACTTCCGGAAATGTCATGAATTACCCTCTCGTGACACGGAGCTAGCGTGGGGGACCCTTTTCTTTCATTACCGCTCCCGTCTTTTTTACGCAAATGAGCTCCGAAAACTGGACGAATTTGCGCCGGTTGCAGCCGTCATTTAAGCTTGTTTAAGCGGCAGATAAACTGCGTCGAGGCTTGCAGCAACGAGATCGCGTGCAAACTTTCTTTTCTCACCAGAACATAAACAGTTGGCCGAGCAAGAAAAGCCCATTCCTAGCTTCAGGGGTCTGGTCTCACGACCTTCAGTGGAGTGACTCTTCTCCCACAACCCGCGGCTCAAGCGGTTGAGGCACCCGACCCCTGGAGGACTTGACCCCTTGTGGCGTTTGGTCCGCTGGTTGTGAGGCCAGAATCAAGCCTCGTTATGCAGTCTTGGCCATAAATGGGTATGGTCTGTAGGGCTACTGATGATGAGCAATGGAGCTCTATTTGCCAAGAGGAAGTTATTGCTGATTGCCAAGAGAGAAATTATGGGCTTTCTACGGCGAGCTTCCGATGGGTTTTAGTTTGCCAAGCGTGGAACGTCGACAGCTGATGCAGGGTTTTTAACGACATCTTGTTTTAGTGTTCCGACGTGTTGGTTGAACATGACAAAAGACGCCTGATGAGAATCCTTGTATCGTGGTGCCAAGATCACGCAGTTAGTTGGCTCTAGGTAATACAATCC